CCTGCCTCATAAAAGATCAAGGGTACAGAAATTGCTTCAAAACATTTCATTGATATAGGCAAATCATTACCAAATACTTAAATCCCACTTAAAAAAAAAAAAATTCACAGCAACTCCTTTAGGCGATTATTCAAATTACTCACTAACAAAATTTTTTTTAAATCTCAATGCTCCAAAAAATAGCATCACAGATTTCAAGCCTGCCACCTGAGACATGAACCAAATTTAAGAAATTTTAGATATTCTTAAATTAACTTATCAGTGAACGTGTTAATTTTTAATTGAAAAAAATAGTTCACTTTCTAACCGCTTCACTACCTGGTCATAAGTTACAATGCTTAGTCACTGAAGCCTCAATACATTCATGACAAAGGGTGGTCACTGAATGCACACAACAGGCAGCAAAAGCGCTTGTACAGGGGAATCATTAAACTTGGTCTAATTTTCCATTATTAGTTCCCTTCTTCATGTTCATCAAAGTTACATTACTCTTCCTTAAGCAAAATTAGACAGATGTAGAAGAGATTTGGATAAACCAAGGGAAAAGACATGACAGAGGAAAATAAAACCAATGTTTACTGCTTGCTGAACCTAGCTCAGGCTTACTATATGCAATGCTTTCCCAATCATGGCAGTTCCCAAAGAGATTTTTCCTCAGCAACCAGAAACTTGCACCAAAGGTGCAGATTCATTGCAGATAAGCCTTCATCATGACAAAGCATGCTAAGATGTCATTTTTAATTATTTAACATCTAACTAATTAAAACACTTGGAGAAATACCTTTAGCATATTTAAAAATAGAATTCTCAGACCGTGATAATATTTGAATATATACTGATTTGAAGCATCATTCACACTGAAAAATTAAGACTCTGATCTTATGTGAGGTGCAAAACTATATGGAATCTTGTAAATTAGAGCTGCTAACTTTTGCAACACAAGTTTATTAGGTGAGGAAGGTAAAAGAATGTAGCAAGAAACAAATCCACAGATGGTTAACAACATCTGCCACAGCCAAGTTAACTCACCTTCACTTTCACTAAGAAATGTGGATTCAAGAGCAGGTATATGGGATGAAAACACCACTGACACAACGTGATCAGAGAAATAAGCAAAGCCAGCTTGTCCTAGGGCAGCATGACATTGACTGGAGGGAAAAGGTGCAACAAGGAAACTTAATGAACTTTGATTGCTTGTGAATTGGACAGGGAACCAATTTTTGTGTCCTTCAGGTGGGAAAGAAAAGCTGATTTCTAAGATGTAGGCATGTAAAGTAGCAGGACTTGGCAAAAGCCCAAGTATGAAAGACAAAAGATGAAATGATCTAGTAGTAACCTATCAGCGGATAGCTGAAGATACAGAGAGGGGGAAAAAGTTACAGATTTAGAATTGTAAGACTTTCAACCAAGCAAGACAACAGTAAATAACTCACCCATTTTTTCCTCTTTCCTCAGCAGCTCTATATGAGGTTCATAATTTTTAAAAAAATCTCCTGTCAGGTAATTATTTCTATGTTTAGCATGATTTCTAACCCTACCGTAACCTGAATTTAGAGAGCTCCCTAGAAATGTTGTCTGCTGAAATATCTTACTTTAAATATATTTTAGGGAGAAGTTTACTCAATTTTGAAGGCACATGTTCAACTATTTTCAGTTAGGAAGAAGCAAAGATTTAAATAATTACTCTGTGAAGGTGAAAAATATTTGTTTTAAGGCTTGAATGAAGAATCATTCAGATTTTAAAAAGGCATTTTTAAAAAATGAAAAGTACTTTCAAGAATCACTGAAACAAAGCAGCTGAACACCTCGTAGCAACAGCACATTCAAGGACAGCATTTTTGTTGTGAAGGGCATGTTTTAAACAAGTTTATTTTGCATATGTCAATTTGTGCATCTATGATGCCTCAAATTAACAGCACAAAAGCATGTTTACAATGCAACAAGAAGTTAAAACAACAAAACAATGTACTGCAACATTCTCCAGTCACTTGTCCCTAAGCATGTGCTGAAAAACATGCAAAATTCCAGGACCCTCCTTATTACTTTGTCTCTTTTAAGACAGGACAGCAAAGATAAAGCCCATAGAGAATAATTGCCCAAATCTGCATTGTAAATACCCAAAATCACTTGTCAGTGCGCTAACACAATGATTGCCACATTTACAGAAAAGTTAGTTCTATAGTTAAGGCAACAGTGAAATGAGCAGTAAAGCAAATGTCACAAAATAGAGAATTTTATTGCCACAAAACAGAAGCACTAGTAACTGTCAATAACAGCCTATAATTAAGAATAATCTTTACAGCTGTTTTAAGGGAAAAGAACAAGCAGCATACAGGAATCTTCCAATGATGTTTTCATTTGGAAGCAAAACCACATTAATAAGTTCCCATTCTTCCCAGCCCTCATTTATGTACAACCAAGTTTACTGCTTCTCTAACCATAACAGTGCAACAGCTGACAGACTTTGAGGAGCTTAAATCTTGATGTTTCAAAAGTCATGAGAAAGAGACCCAGTCTTACAGCACTGCCTCCCTCACAAGGAATTCCACAAGAACAGTCAAGAGAAGAATTGTGGCATAAGGGCAAGGGCACGAACCTCTCTACCAGGACTAGCTGCAGAAGAAAACATACTGTATCACAATAACCTGCATTATGTTCTTTAAGTTATGCAAAATATACACTGCATTACACACACATTTACTAAGTTATACACAAGACAAACACTGGACAACATCAAATTAACCTCGTCCAATTTGCATTCTCACTTTTAGCATAAAATGCTGTAAATGCTATGTAGCTGTTTTTAGAGAGGGGAAAATAAATTGACGGATCTACTACTCCAAAAGAATTCTATGGAACATTTTAATCTTTCTGTAACCAATAATTTCTAAGTTTGTTGAAACATATCTAGGAGAATTGTATCACATTAAACAGTACTTTCTTCTAAATCTGTTCCCAACTTTAGCAACAAGGTATCATCTTACCAGACGAACTCTAACTTGCAAGTTATAGTCTTAATTCGGCAGCTGCTCTGCATTGATAAAGCCCTACACCCTGAAGAGAGTCCCACTGAAGTTGACAACACAATCTTCCTGCAAGATCAAAGGCCTCTTTGCTTCCATAATATTTTACTGCCAATCCACTATTTCCCTGTTTAACACCCCTCAAAACATTTTCGCATGCATATGCAAAACAGAGAGGGGGAAATTACCATCAGTGCATGCTTTGAAATTACAATATTGAGCACTTCTATTTTACTTTCCTCTTCCTATACAACTATTGCTGTATACTAACTACAATGGTTTTTAGCTTTGTCATCATTATTTGCAATGCCCTAAACAGTTTCCATGTGTTGAAAAACTGTCATTGTCTTCTGCGACAAAGAAACTGGTTTTGCCTTCAGGTTCTGAGCGCCATAGACTATTCTGGCAATAATTGCTTTTTTGATGTATTTTGGAGTTTAACATTGATTTTTACGTCAGAAAGCTTTTCCCTGCTGTGTAAGAGAACAGTATTTCACTAAAACAGTATTTCTAGCCCTTTCAGTTGCAGAACAAAACAAAACAAAACAAATGTATTGCAACACTTGTAACTAGAGAAGTTATCAATTTATTAAACAGAAACTCTACAATAATTAGTAGTTTTTGCAGGGAAGCTGAAAGTCACTTCAGCATGTATTATTCTGCTGGATGTGATAGTTTTCAAAAGAAAATACTGAGAAAGACCAAAGAATCAGATGATCTAACATAAGCAGAGAAAAGGAGAAAACAACAAGGGTGATTCTCCTATGACACCAGAATAACGAGGAGGCCACACAGCTGAACTTGTCTGTGGTGTTGTAGTGTCACTAAAATAGGAGACAACTGTCATAATACAGGCTCCAGATCTACATCCTTTTACATCTAGGACACAAACTTGAGAAGAAGAAGGGAAAAAGCCAGGAGCAGAGACGAGAGACACTGTAAGTATACATAAGAGAGGTTAATTCTATTCTAATATGAAAAAATGGAAGCTTTGAATTCAGAAGTTGTTGTCTCTCCGTTCTCTCAGGACTTGCAGACTTCAGGATGTACTGAAGTACATCGGCGAAGGAGCGCCCGCCCGACACCTTCCACGTTCAGCACGGGGACAGCACAAACCCTCGGCGAGCACAAGGGAGCGCCCAGTGCCGGGCAGCCACCGCAAAGCTCGGCTGTCACAGCGCGAGTCCGCAACCCTGCCCTGACAGCCCCGCTCCGCTCCTCTCCTCTCGCCTCCCCGCGGTCCCAGCCCACCCTTTCGAGCGGAGCCACTCGGGACCCCGCCGGGGAGCGGGGAGGAGGGACTGCTGCCACACGCCCCTTTCACCCAACACAAACAGCCGCGGCCTCTTCGGCGCGATTCCCAAACCCGGGCGGCTCCCGCTGCGTTGTTCAGTCCGGGCCTGAAAGACCGGAGGGCGCCCGCTGACACCACTAGTTCCGCCGGCCGGAGCGAACCAGACGGACGCCGATCCCGGTGCGTGCGGGGGATCACGGGCCCTCCGGCGCTGCCGCCGCGGCCCCGCCTCAGCTCGCACACGGCAGACGGGAACGAGGCGGCGGGAACGGGGCCGGCGAGGGGGGGACGCGGCGAGTAGGGAACAGCCACGGCCGCCGCACGGCGCTTCCCCTCCGGGACCGCCATCGGCGCCACCCCGCCCGCCGCATTGCCTCCCGCAACAACAGCCCGGCCCGGCCCGCCCTGCGACACCGGCCGCCGCCCGGACACACACCCCCCGCCCGAGCACCCGGGCACGCACGGACACACCCCCGGTCGGACATTGAGACAAGCGCATGCAGACACGGACGGACAACACGGACACACGCGGCCGGGCGCCGGTGCCGCTCCCCGTGACAGTTGGCGGCGGGTCGGGCGGGCGCCGCGGGAGCGCGCGGTCGCTAACGGTCACCGGGCGGCCGGTAACAGCCGCCCCGCAGCCCAGGGGCCCCGCCCGCCCGCGCCCCCGCCCCGGGACTCACTGCGGAGGTTGTGGATGAGCTCGGAGTGGCTGGCGCCACCCGACTTCCAGGCCATCGCTAGGCACACTCTGCGGAGCAGGTACAGAGCCGCCTTCAGCGCCGCGACTGCGCACAGCAGCTTCCCCAGGAAGGACACAACCTCCAGCGCCGACACAGGCGCCGCCTCCTCGCCGCCTCCTCCCGCGGCCGCCGCCGCTGCGGCTGCCGCGCGCTCGCCGAGGGGAGGGGCCACGCGCCCACCGCCCCGCGCGCCCGACATGCCCCGGCCGCCGCCGCCGCTCCGCCGGCCGGCGCGGTGACCCCCCCCGCCGCGCGCATGCGCGCCCACCGCGCCCAGGGGCGCGCGTGGGGAGATCCTCGCGCGCCGGGGCGGGGATGCACAGCGGCTGCTCCTGGCCCGCGCGTTTTGTTGCCGGGGCCCTGGATCCCGCGCTGGCGGCGAGACCCCAGTCCTGCCCTCCCCTCCCCTCAGAAACGGCGGCGAGGTGGGACGTATCTGAGGGGCGCGGGTGTGTGAACTTAGGAGCTCTGTTAATGAATGAAATAGCGAAACGGCACCTCGGCGCGCACGCACTTTCCCCGCTGTCCCGGCCTTAGCCACTCCCGTGACACAAGTCGGTACACGCCGGGTACCGGAGAAGGCGCTGTCGGGGCGGGCGAGCCCCATCACAGCAGCTGCGCCGCCAGCTCCGGGCCCCGGCCCAGCGCGCGACCCGCCGCCCTTGCGACGGAGCCAATTAGCGGCGTCTCCCGGCGCGGTGTTTTGCATGGGGCGCGCCTATTGGCCACATCCAGCGCGCGCGGGCCAGGCCTACGTGTTGGAGGCTGCCATTGGTCAGGTGGCGCGGGAGCTGCGTGTCCCGTGCGTGTCCCCGGCAGGGCACGGTGCGGACGGGACGGGGCGGGTGCGACCCGCAGCCGGGAAACAACGCGAGAATGGGAGCGGGTGGAAGGATGTGGAGAGTTGGCACGGCCGTACATTGGCTAAAGGCCGCCAAAGTACCGATGTTTCACAGGAGCATCTACCGGTGCAATGCCGGTGACGCAGGACAAAGTTACAGGTTAAAATTCCTTTTAAGAGGTGTCCAGGACAATAGCTCAGAATTTAGTAAATGCCGATGGGCCTTTATTCTGTCCCAGCATTAGGCCCATGATGAAGTAGCAATCTTAAGGGAAAAGTAGCATCTTCGGATCCTCCCGCAGCTGTAACAATGATGAAAACCCGATAATTCACTTCCTAGAATCATGTAGTATTTCTCTCTGCTCTGAAACTCCTTTATTATTAATTTTGCCGCCAATATTCATTTGCCACCTGTTATTTATACCCGTTTTGATTGTTTAAAGGGAAAACATATACCATCTTTGCAATTTTGGGAACCCACTGGCAGTGCTGTGACTTCTGCGTTTGTGCTGCCTTTTTGTCCCTGCAAATGGGCTTCTGGGAATAGTTTTGCAGCACTTCCTTTCCTAACCAGGCACACTGGCACAGGTATTTAATCTACATGGTACCAGACAGCAGGGTTCTCAGTCCTTGGCTTTTAAAACGTGAGAACAATGATACTTAACTATGGATAGGTTGGCACTACCAATAGTATATTGTATAAACATTGGGGGAAATAAGGTGTCATCTAGCAGATATAATTTCAAGTATTATATTGTTTCTTAAAAGCATTTCTGAAACAAGGACACAACCTAAGATACCACCATGGGAGAGTACACAGATTATATCTTCTGTGAGAGAGCCCATCTTGGCTGGGAGTGTTGAAACTGTTCCAGCTCCACACAACACATCTGTTTCACGCAATCATTGCTGGTTCAGGTGAAGAGGTGAAGATGCAAGTCTGCTTCTCTACTTGGCAGTCAGTCCAGGGCAAATCTGACAGTTGCTCAATGTATATACCAGATCCCATCGATAGACTTCTCATCTGGTTCTTTTGATCCTGGAGACAGACCTACTGCTTCCTTCTATGCTCTCCACCTAACTTCTCCCAAGCATGATCTGGCGACTGCAGTCCGTGTGAGACTCCCAGCCTGTCCCAGAATATAAAAGGTCTCCCTGATACACCCAGTGGGCTGAGAGAGAAGGAAAGAAGCCATGGAGTTAGAGGAATTCCCAAAGAGCAGCAAGTACAGAGAACAAACAGACATTGTAAAAGTACAGCACAGAAATACTTAATTGTTTTAAATGCAAAAGACATTTTCTTTTGTCAGATGCAAGCAAACTGCATTGCTCTCACATAGAGAGGTTGCTGCCAAGAAAAGAGCTGGCCCATGTTTAAAAGCATTCCAGGGATACTTACCCCCTTGGGAGACCAAAACCACAAGAGAAACCATTGACATACAAGCTGATGCTGCTTACCAGGACCAGCTTGAATTAGGCTTAGGCTCGTCACGGAGCACCAAGAGCAAGCCCACATTTCTCTCTTAGGAGTTTGCAGTCTTGCCCAGTCGCTTTCTGACTGAGTGTACCTACTACCATGTTCTTGACATGAGTATTCAGAGAACGAAAACAAGTGTGGGCCTTCCTTAACAATATCTGGGGTGTCTTGGATGGATAGCAGGCATGTGTGAAGGAAACAGCACTTGGCTTGGCAAGCTTCCAGGAGCTCTAAGATAAGCCAAGTTGCCTCAAAGGGTCCTGGGAAACTAACATGCACCAATAGTGGCAGGATGCACTCATTTGTGCAGCAAACAAATGTAGGGATCCCTAACTCTTTCAGTTCCACAATCCCAGGCCATGAGTACATTTTAAAAACCTATCAGGAGCACATCCATTGAGACTAAATTCAAAGCAACATAGACATTCTATACTACTGAAAAATATGAGCATAATTAATATGAAAAAATTGTTTTCTTGGCATCATTATTCACGTGGAACTTCTCAATTTGCACTAATACTCAGGATTTCTGTATCCTATGGCCCCTCACTTGTCCAAATCAGTGTGAGCACCTTGGTCCCTGGATGGCCACTGTCAGTTGCAGGCACCTCCATTTTCCACATGTAGAGCCATTGCCCTAGACTCTCCAGGGAGCTGTGGCATGGATGGTCCTCTTAGAGAAAAGGCACAGGAATGCCAGCAGCCAGAGTGGGCCACCATATGATTGCTCTGACACGAAGATCCCACTAACTGTAAGCACATAATCTCTTCTTCCTTTGCTGCACATTCACCCACATCCCAATCCTCTAGCTGTACTTACATACATTTAGATATAAACCCCTCCAAGCTACTATTTCTGTGTCATTCCTTCCCTCCCACCACATAAGCCCATTAGATTTTTTTTTAATTCTTTGAATTTAGAAAGAATTTGAAAAATTGCTCATCACTGTCTGCTCCCATCTGCTTCTGCATACCACAAGCAGAAATTTCCTTGTGAAATGTTCCTGCTGTACATTTCCGCAGTTATGTCCCAAACCCTACGCTAATTGGCTTTTACACCTACACTCCCTCCTCTTCTTGACTCCATTCTGTTTTTTAACTTAATCACTCTCCTTCATCTCATTTCTTTTCCCATAAGCTCAGGCCAGTTTGATGTGTACCTTCCTTTTGTATTACCATTTCAGAAGTTTACATTATTTTGCAGTCCGCATCCATGTTTTACCAGCTCTGCACTCCAAGGACTCAGTCACAGCAGTGACTTTCCCCATTAGGGAGCACCAGAACTGGGACCCCTTCATGCCTCCTCATCCACGTTTTACCAGCTCTGCACTCCAAGATGAGGTGACAAGGACTCAGTCACAGCAGTGACTTTCCCCATTAGGGAGCACCAGAACTGGGACCCCTTCATGAAGGCAGGTCAGCTTTCCAGATGAGACCTTCCAGATGACACGCCATCCCACAGCATCTAAGCAAAGCAAGCAGAGCAGGGCTGGGGACAGAAATGATTTTGCCATCAAGTGAAGTCAGGCCCCAAGTCAAGCCAGCCACCAAGTCTGGGCAACATGGCTGAGCACAGGCCCTCCTGCAACACAGCTGAGGCCAAGAGCAGGGTGTCCCAGCCCAGACGGGAGCCCCTGCCAAGGGCAAGGCTTATGACTGCACTCTGGGCTGGGCCCTCTGCTGATATATCTGCTCTGCAGTACACTGCACTGGAAATGTACTCGTTCAAGAGAATGCACTGAGCACAGCTCCAGGAACTCTTACCAGGTGTTGACATTGTTTTGGCATCTCCAAATAACTTTCTTTAAATATTGTTCAATTATGATTGGAGAAAAGCAGATTATAAGTAAATCCAGTTCAGAATTAGCTTTATCACGCCCTAGTACAATCACTTATCTAGTAAGTGCCTTTGTTCTCAGGTCCCTTACTTTCTCTAAGAGACAGGCATGCCTTCAGTTTTCTTCCCTTTCACTCACACTCCCAGCTTTAGCCATATTTAAGGGTAATCCATAGATGCTCCTTGTTGTCTCAGCTGGTATGTCTGGACCCAAGGCTTAGAGTCAACTTCATCTAGACTTAACATCCTTCTTGAAAACCACAGAAATACTAGATTAGGTGTATTTTCTCCAGGTGATTATTTCTGCCTTTTATATGTTTATTTAAATCTGCCATTACACTGAAATGATATACTAACACAGTACACATCTTTCACAGGGATCAAGCATAAAGAATATATTTAAAGGTTTACACAGCAGCCCTAAATCTGTCACAGCTCTCACTTCCGTCACATAACATGCTGCCAACATTTTCTTTAAAAAATGTAGGACAGGGAAGAAAAACTGTGACTCTTCTTTTCCTCTAAGTGAAAATAAGCCTGTATGTCCAATTTACTTCCATTAATGCTTCCCAAATGCTTTTGAACAAGCAATCCTGAGCAAAGAAAGAAATCATCCAAAAGCACAATGTAAAATAATACACACAGAAATCATAAACTAACCAACAAAAATATTTGCCTAATAAAACTTTTCAATAATCCCAAAGTGTTTTCTATTCAGTTTTTAGCTGTCTGGTCGGTAGCTGTATTCTGAGGCTGCCTATTGATATTTCTCATAAGTTATAAGAATTAGCTGAAAATGCCCTTGGAGTCAACAGTGACTTGCAGAACTGCTGTGAGCAGCTTAATAGAGGGTGACAGAAGCATTTGCTACTGTAGAATAACAATGCTACTGCCACATACAACAAAGATTTTTTTTTAAGGTATGTTTGCAGTATGGTAGACTACTATAGCATCCAGCTTTTTTGGAATATCTTCAGTGTTGGATTCTGCTGAATGTAATTATGGAAGAAAAAGTTCAATAAAGTTCAAAAGATGCACATAAAATATCA